CACGTTGCCAACGCAAAACTCGTCAACACCGCATGGTCATGTTGGGTTCAATTCGATTGTTTACTACCTCTGGGAAAATAGAATAAAAGAATTAGAAAATATAAAATAAATTAAACTTATGGTCATTTTAGGTTCAATTAGCTTAACAAAATGACGCCCGCTCAATTCCATAAATTAGAAAAGCAAGTAACCTGCTCCCCAAGCAAAACTCGTCAATTAGGAAATAACTAAAATAATTATTATTAAATAAAAGTTAAATAATGATATCGGGTTCAACTCGTTTTAGCCGGGTCGAATCAGGATGAATACATATGAATTTGGGTTCAGTTATTTTAAAAGGAAATAACTACCCAACCCGTCAATTACAAAAGTGGGTAAAACTCGTTTCCGACCCGAAATTCATCAAAATTGAATTCAAATCGCTTTGCCCGACTTGATAAAGCGGGGAAATTTATTAACAAAATTCAGATCCGACCACATCCGTTAATTACAAAAGCGGGTAAAATTCGTTCCCGATCCAAAATTTGAGAACACTATATTCAACTCGCTTTGACCGGTTTGATAAAGCAAGGCAAGTTTTTAACGAAATCCACACCCGACCCAACCCGTCAATTACAAAAGTGAACAAAAATCATTCTCGTCCAAAAGTTCGTCAACATCGGGTCCAACTCGCTTTGACCGGGTCGAATTATTTCGAATACCCATTGATTTGAGTTTAATTGTCATAAGTTAATTAATTAGAACCTTTCTTGGTTACTTTTGTTATATTTTCGTTCTAAATTTTTTACAATTACTGTAATATGTTTAATTCTTTCTGACTATGTTCCATTTATCCTTCTTTGGTCTTGATGTATTGATGATCGATTAGATTCTATTTTAACTATTTTTAATTGTACTTCTTATCGGATAAGCATATTTAAATAGATTTTCTAATATTGATTTTAAATAGATCTTCTAATATTGATTTTCTGACTATGTTCCATTTATCCTCCTTCTTCTTGATATTTTTTATTATTTTTACTAACTTATCTATTTTATTGACAATTTTGATTAGTCATTTTAGTAATATTATGTTTAGAAGGTTTTTTTAATATCTATATTAGATAAAAACTTGTTGAAATATAGTTTTGGTTGTTTTAAAAGTTTTGGGTACCAAAATGTAATTAAAATTTTATCTTGGATGGAAAACTAGACGGATGCACATTTTGGTGACTTTAATGGTACCCGGCGTCCTATGCAAACTTAAGTGGTATGTCTGCCCCAATTCTCAAACTTTAGTGGAACCCGAGGTATTTTACCCACAAAATGAATATAATAGATTTAAGATATACACATACACATAAATCCATTATACCATTTTGTAAATCGTGTTGGTTGTTTTCAATTATTTAAGCTGATACAAGTGAACTCGTTTTGCATTTCAAATTCAAACCGCATGGGGGATGACGATTTTGGCGGAAGAGACGCGGATGGAGGGAGCGGTTGCTCGGAACGCTGAGGTGGTGGACAGTCAACCACTGGATCGAGGGGAGATCCAACGGTAATCCAACCACCAGCGACCACACGCGGCATGTTTGCGGCAAAAAAGAAAGCCACAACACCCCCTGCGCTACTCGTTTTATTTGCCATGGAGGGATGTAGTCCTTGTGAATTGGTGATAAAGAGGGAAATTTTTTAAAATGATAGAATTTTTGAATTTTTTTTAGTTTTTGTGTGATATAATGGGAAAACTTCCCCCAATTTGCCGGTGATTACTAGGGTCAGAACGATGAGACTTTGATTAAGTCGGTTGCGATGGCTTTGCCCTTACACGTTATATCTTGCTTTAGACTCCCCCGCTCGCTCTGCCGCTTGTTGGATAAACATGTTGCTCGATTTTGGTGGGGAGTGGAGGATGGACAGTATAAAAGTCGATGGATGTCGTGGCGAGATATGTGTAGGAGTAAGCATGAGGGTGGGATGGGGTTTCGTCGCTTTGAGCAGTTCAACCAGGCTCTCCTTGTTAAAATTGGGTGGCGAATCTTGATGGATCCAACCTCTCTCCTTGCCCAAGTTTACAAAGGGAAATATTTCTCGAGAGGGACTTTCCTTGAGGCCTCTGCCCGGTCCCGTCCATCTTGGGGCTGGCAGAGCATCCTTTTTGGTCGGCAACTGTTGGAGCAGGGGGCTGTGGTGGCAAATTGGTAATGGCCAGTCTGCTCCGTTACTCGGTACTAACTGGGTCCCTCGTCTGCACCCTGATGCTCCTAGTTTTAATCCCCGAATATTGCCTCGAAATGGTAACCTGGTGGTTGCTGAGCTGATTAATCCAAGGGAAGGGAGCTGGTGTGATTCCAAACTTCGTCAATGGTTTGACCCGCCTACTTGTCGTGTTATTAAGGAGATTCCCCTTCCACGGCTTGCGGTGGAGGACCGCCTTGTGTGGCATGAAACGATTGATGGGGTGTTCTCGGTAAAGTCGGCTTACCATTTGGTTGTTTCTCTTGATAAATAGGTAGGGAAATGGCGTGCTACAACAAGTTGGATGGACAAAGCTAGTTGGATTCGACTTTGGGAGCCCCCATCCCTCCTAAGCTGAAAATTTTCATGTGGCAAATTTATAATCGGCTCCTGCCCACGACCGAAGCTCTAATTGAGCGGGACGTTCAGGTTCATCCTTGTTGCCCGGTTTGCTGGTCTGACTCTGAGACGATGGAGCATTTGTTCCTAGAATGCCCGGTTGCTAGGGCCTTGTGGGACTATGCGGGGCTTGAATATCTCGGTCAAGGGCTTCCTCGGCACACCTTTCCACTGTTCCTTAAGAAACTGATGGCCCTTATCCACCAACCGCAGCTAGTTATGGCTGTGGTGGCGCTCCTATGGAGAATCTGGCGGTCTCGCAATTGGGTTGTCTTTGAAGGCAAGCAGTTTGGGTTGCTGGCTCTCATGCGACAATTTCATCAGCAATACCAGGAGTGGATAAGTTTTCCGGTTGATAGATACCCTCGAACCACTCCCCCTGCTCTTCATTCTGTAGAGAGCGTCACCCCTTGCCCGTTTGTCTGTCAGTGGGATAGGGTTGTTTCCCGTGGGTCCCACTCGGCGGGTGGGATGGTTGTTATGACACAGGAAGGGGCGGTTATTCTAGCTCGGGGTGTCCAGTTTGTTGGGATTGTGGAGCCATTGATTGTTGAAGCCCTCTCGCTTCGAGAGGCATTACTTTGGTGTGTGGAGTCCGGATTTACGGAGATGCGATTTGAAGGGGATGCCAAGGTGCTTATAGACAAACTCAAGCAGGCTGTTAAGAGTGACAGTCGTGTTGGAGCCCTTCTGGATGAAGTTCTGCATTGCTTATCTGACCATAATGGATTTAGTGTTCGGTTTGTCGGTCGGCGTAGTACCAGGGTAGCCCATTTAGTAGCTAGAAAGGCCCTTAATTTGTATGATTTCATGGTCTAGTTAAATTTCAGAATGTAACTTTCTATTTTGATGAATATATGATTATCTTTCGTAAAAAAAAATTAATAGGGTCAGAACTTGAAAACATCAAGGGGTCGTTTGGATTAGTAAATTTAATATGAGTGATTTATGAGGAATTTGGGACCAAATCACTCATTTAAAAACCCAGGTTTTTAATTCGAGAGATTTGAATGGGATTTTCACCAAATCACTTGTTTGGCAACTAATGTGAGATTTTATAATAAAAATGTAAAATCACAAATTTACCCTTCATATCCTATCTCTACATGAGGCGGGCAATAGAAGGATCTGCTTCCTTTTTCCTCTCCGCCATTACACACTTCACTTTAGCAGCAGCAAGACTGCATTTGTTTTCCATTTATATGTCCACTTATAGCAATGAAAATAAGAAGCAGCAAGACTGCATTTGTTTCATTTATTTGTCTATCTATGGCCAAACAAATATGCAGCAGCAAGACTGCATTTCATGGGACAAACGCCAACATAAAACTAGCATTATACAAAAAAGACAGCAGCAAGTTCTTCTCCCATCAAGCATTATACAAAAAAGACAGCAGCCTTTTCTCCCATTTAGAAGAGCATTATAAAAAAAAGACAGCAACATCTTCTTTCAAATAGCATCAAAAGACAGCAGTCTTTTCTCTCATTCACAAGAGCATCATACACATGTTCATTACCCATCCAACATTAAACAAACAGACAACAGCATCTATTGCACAAAAGCATTAAACAAATGAAGCAGAATAAACAAAAGCAGAATTGCAGCAGATTGCAGTCGATAAAAAGAACCCAAATCGTCCATCTTTTGAGCAAGTATCATTCAGTCTTCAAACACAGACCCCCAACAAAGTTTCCGACTCAGACAAAGCTGCCACCCACCAAAAAAAGCTTGCATACAAGCTCTGTTTACTTAATCCCACCATTGCTCTCAACCTATCAGCCCTCTCACAAACATATACTTGTCTGTTATGTCTTCTAACCGGTAGAACGCCATCAAGTCTCGATCGTTGTTGGAAAGCAACCTCATTGCAGTAAGGATCTCAACTCTGGTAAGCCCACCAAGCTGCTCCAAGCTCTCCACAAGATTATCTCGCTTCATATTAAGTTCATCACTTTCCCCGAGTGCCCTAGCAATTGTATCCACCGACTGCTTAATGAATGGACGAAGATCTCTCATTTCTCCAACCGCACCCGTGAGGCGTTCTTCAACAGTCAGACCTGTCTTCTTCTTCTTCTTCAGTGGAGCCCCATCAGTTGAAGTTGTCACACTTGCAGGCTGCTTTTTTTGACTAGCTAACTCTGCATTGATTTCCTCCATAAGCTCTGCATTCACCTCGTCAAAGTCAGGATTTGGAATGTCATACTCTTCTGTTGATGTTCCATCCAAACAGATTGGATCATTGGTGTCAACCCCATGATCCCCAGTTGCACGCCCTTTGCAGAATACTGGTGTCAGGTCATCATAAACCAAAAATGGTTTCTTGTTCAGACCATCACAGTTTGGGTGCTTCTGCAGTAAGTCAGACAAGTAAAGAAAAGTGTCAAGAACTAATAAGATGGACATAAATCAAACAATAATATTGTAGGCTTACCTGCTCAAATGCATCCCATTCATTATCCGGACAGATGACACACTTATTAACCTCATCCCACCCCCATCCACTTTGATTTCTCATAAGTGTCATTGCATGCCATATCTTCTTCCACTTTTTGAACCTCCCCTCTATATGAGGCTTTGCTCGTATTCCACAGCCCGGAAGTCGTTCCTCCATCATCTTCTCAAGAATACCATATACCCCATTTTTACATATGCCATCCACTATGAGCCGCTTCTCAACACACTCCAAAATGCATTCTACAAATGGTTTATCGCACTTCTCGGGCCAGAAGGTGTACCCAGATTTTTGACCTTCCACAACCTTTCTTTTCCTCATTACTGTAAACCACAAACAATCAACAAGATCAAGAGGGCAATTTAATTAAATCAAGTAGTTAAATAAAAAGACAAACAACAAGTAGTTAATTATACAATAAGACAGCAAGTACAATAAAAGACAAACAAACAGCCGCACATTCCAAACAATGTAAATAAGTCACAAGCAACAATAATTTAAATCACAAAGAAGCCACAAATTACAAGATCTGTTCCAGCCCCAATGTTTTTCTCACACAAACAGGAGCATCAAGTTGGAAAATCAAGTTTGATACACTAGCAGCCCCATTACATAAACTAATAAATTCAACATTCATCTCAAATGACAGATTACATAGCAAGTACAAAGAACTCATGAAGAAGTCCTGAATCGTGCAGGCCGATCGTTCCATATTTCATTTGCTAGATCCATCCTAAATTGAGTCCAAGCCTCGGTAGGTTGAGTGCCGGAAATAGCAGCCGTATCAACTCCGGCTGTTTCATGGTGCACATTATCGCGATGTTGATCTCGATATGTTCTTTCATAAATGTCAGCTCCTTCCTCCTTCTTTATGAAATTGTGTAGAATACAACATGCTAACACAATTCGAGATACAACGGGCACCGAGAACCAAGTAGCATCCCTAAGAATTGCCCATCGCATTTTTAAAATACCAAAAATCCTCTCTATTACATTCCTAGCCTGAGCATGCCTCCAATTGTAATACTCTTCGGCAGTTCGTGGCAGCTGTCCCCCCCATTCATCGATATGGTATCTTGGTCCCCTAATAGGGGTCAAGAACCCAGGGCTGTTGGCATACCCCGAATCACACAAATAATAACATCCTATTTAAAAAAAATTGTAATTAGTTTTCCTTAAGGCCAACGACAAAACTTAACCGGAGAAACTAAATATTGTTTATTTGAAAAATTATTACCTTCCGGCACAACTAGGCCGTTCGGCTTGTTTAGAGCATCTCTCAACACTCTCGCATCATGAGCAGACCCTTCCCATCCCGCTAGACAATATATAAACTCTAAGTTTGGGGTACAAACACCCAAACAATTGATCGTGAGATTGCGAGACCTATCTCGATATTTAGTTTGTTCTTCCTTCAATGGTCGGACATCAATGTGGGTTCCATCAAGAGCTCCCAAACAATTCTATATGACAAATTGACAAACAATTTAGCTAGTTGTACTAAAGTTATAACTAAAAATCTTTAGTAACAATAGTCAAATGAAGTCCGACCTTAAAGTACTTCCATCTCTTGTCGGTGGAATCGGCTGGAATGGGTTCTGGCTTCTTCATAAGAAGCTTGTTGAGCCTAAGAATTGCCCGTAAGACTCGGTGAAACGATCTATAAATCGTCTCAGTAGAGCGCCTCAAATCAACTGCTAAACTCCTGATTTTGTTATCATGAGATATAGCCAATAGGAAGGTGAGAACCATTTCATCTACATCAGTGTTTCGAGTCTTTTTCAGCCCACCTTCCGCAACTAAAAGGTCACATAACTTCTTGAATAAGCTACGATTCATCCTAATCTTTCTGTGACTCTCGGTATCACTGAGTTTGGTACATTTGTCAATCACCCTTTGTCTATCGAACTGTCGCATCATGTAACTATCTACGGGCTGCCTGGCAATTCTAGGATTGCGAATTAATAACTCTGTAAGGTTCATCACCTCCATTCCTAGATCAAGATAGATCATTATAAGGTTCCAAAATGCGCTAATCGCAGCAATCAGTTTGCGCCTCTCCATCGGAGACATCATAGACAGCCGAGACATCCTTTACTAGAAAATAAAATTAGAAACAAATCAACAAACAATAACAATAAACAGCCGATAATGATTCATATTCAGCCTTTACTGATTAACAAACAATAACCATAACAAACAATAACAATAGACACAGCCGAGAATGGTTCATATTTAGCTTTTACTGATTAACAAACAATAACAATAACAAATTAACAAACAATAATAATAGACATCCTTTACTGATTCTCATGGCTGGTAGTAGTCTGAATGGTGATTTTATGGAATTGAAATACACAGCCGAGACTTTTGTCTCATATTCTAGGTTCAGCAAACAAATAAAAGAGAGTACAAACAAATAAAAGGGATTACAGACTACACCATTTAAGTTTTGAAACCCAAAAGCCAATATATATATAAACAAACGAAGCCAATATAGATATATAAACAAACGAAGCCAATATATATATAAATGAAGCCAATATCCCATAAAAGAATCAAAGGAGGAAGAACAGAGAAGGTTCGGCAAAACTCACCTGCTGGTGAAGGTTGGTTTTTGCTGCTGACCGCCGAATTTGGTGTGAGCTGCTTCCCAACTCTCTGAAACTAGCTGTTTGTTCGTCTTCCAACTCTTTCGTCCGGGTGGGAGTTAAACAGACGGGTGGGAGTAAAACAGAGGAGGGTTAAACGAATGACACTTTATTGAAAGGGTTAATAGAAGAAAGGGTAAAGTTGGATTTTCAGAAAAATAGTATGGGCATATATGGAACAAATGGACAAAATATTGCAGGATTTCGAAATAGCTGGTGGGCATCAGCTATTTCACATTCTCTCAAATGTGGGTTTCTCAAATCCGGAATGATTAAAATCTCTCATCAAAAATTTGTTTCCCAAACGAGTGATTTTAATTAAAATCTCTAATGGTGAGGGATTGTGCCTAAATCCCTCATTAGAAACTCTAATCCAAACGACCTCCAAATTACTTCATAAAGAAATAGATTCCATTATATTTGGACAGCCCTCTTCTCTTCTGTTAGTATAAAAACAAACAAGTAGAAGAACAAGAGTCGGAACCCCAAAAAAATCGAAGAGTTCAGCTTATGTGAACAACCAACCGAGAGTGAGAACCTAGAAACAGAAGAACATCAATGGGAGATGGGGACGAGAAGAAGACGGAGAAAACGATGGACACAGTAGCCGTATCCAACGAATGGCTGGAGGGGCTGACCAGAGCTCCACATGGTCAACTGGAAGGGCTGACCATGGACGGACTCAAGATTGTGGAGTCCAGCAAAGGATTCATCCGTTGTCACTTCACCGTCCCCGATCGCATCACCGTCAGTGAAATTTCTTCCTTCTTCCTCGATCCTGCTTTCTTTCTTTTTTCCCCCTCGTGAATGGAGCTTTTCTCGTTCAATTGAAATTGGGGGTTTCAATTCATTGTTAGGACGGAGATGGGAATTGGCACGTCGGAGCGATGGCGACGATGATCGACGATGTGGGTGCGGCTGCGATTTTCTCATTGGTCGGCCATGTCAAAGCTTCCCTCGATTTCACCATCTCTTTCCTCTCTACTGCTAAATCTGAGGTAAACGGAAAAACTGCGAAACAGTGAAAGAGGGTGAATTACTTCCCAGGTCCTCGTGGTTTTAGTTAATCAACAATTTAGTCCTTTACCCCATACGATTCAGTGAGTAGTGTGAAATGTGTGATCAGGAAAAAATGGAGTTAGAAGCAAAGGTTGTGGGGGAGAAGGAAAGGTTGGCTTCAGTGGTGATAGAGGTTCGTCGGAGGAGCAATGGAGAGCTCATTGCCTTGGGGAAGCAATGGATGGCTGCCCATAATAAACTTTGATCATCGTTAGAACTGTATCACACGTTCAATCTTGACACTCATATTCGCCCCATGGTAGGTAGGGTGAAGGTTGATCGACCTATATCGGTATGTAATTTAAAAAAAATATATATATATATATTTAGAATATTAATTTTTGTCATTGTATATGCAGTTAAATTATTCAAGTAGAACTTCTCGTCCATTTACAACTTTATTAATAGCTAAAATATAATGTAATGTAAGTAAAATTCTAAATAATTTGAGTAAAATTACATATAATTTAGACAAAACGGATCGAGAACTGGTCGGATCAAAACAAGTAAGGTCGAGACGAGTACTCATGCTCGTCCAACCCCACCTACGAGACAGGTATTACCCCTCAAAACATGTCAAACAAATCGGATAGGACAGATTAGGAAGAAATTGTCAGTAGAACTACCAACATTTTTTTTTTTTTGTTTGGATGAAGATGGTAGCTTGGATGTAGATCTCTTGTTTTTTTTTTTTTTTTTTTTGACAATTATGTAGTTCTCTTGTTGGTGGCCACTCATGTTCAACACTAATGGAGCAACAAAGATCTCCATTAATCTGATTTTTCATCGGCATGAATGGAACTTGCAAAAGCTCCACAAGCAAGCATCGAGATATAAAAGGAAGAGTGTGTAGATAAAAAATGTCAAAATACGCAAGAAACTAAAACTAAAGAATACCGAGAACACTGAGTTTTTTAACGTGCTATCGTCAATGTGACACTTCTTCGAAATTAGTGATTCCTAATGCAAGGGAGCACCAAAACCAAAGTTGGGAACCTCATTGCAACAAAGGCAAAGCACCATCATAGATTCATATGGATGTTGGGGTATTTCAGCATCCTTAAACGCTCGACTTGGAAATAGTATATACCCAAAGGGGAATGAAATATGTAGAGACAGATACACTTGACCTCACTCATAAAACAGAGTGCCGCTAATATGCTAATTCCATGGTCTCTAGTGCTACAGAAAAGAGAAGGGTGGAAAAAGATGAAAATGCAAATCCTCAAGAGTACCCAAATCCATACATCTCCCTCTCTGCTACGCCCCAAACCTGCAGAACCTGCAAAGACCGAAACTTTATGATACTCTAACTCTAACCCCATAAGAAGCAGAGCCACAAATGTAAACTTCCCTAGGGCCTGCCATTTCTACCCTGCTGCCCACGTCTCTTCTTCTCGGCCACTTGTTCGTCCGACAGCGGAAGGTAGTAAATTCGAGGGACTGCTTTGGTTTTCCTGAACAGGTCGTCTAGGGTCACAATAGGGGCCTCGGGTTTTTCAGCTAGCAGTGGAGGTGGTGGAGGCACGAGCCGTTCCTTAACCAGAGGAGGGTTCGATAGTGGCGGCGGTGGAGGAAGGGGAGGCGGTGGTGGCAGTTGCTGTCTAGTAGCCTGCAGGCGGGGTGAAGGCTGTGGCTGGCTTGATGGTGCAGGAACAGGAGCAGAAGCAGGCTTAGAAGCAGCAGGAGATGGAGGAGGTGCATCCACCTTGGACTTCACTTCCTGAGGATCTACAAATTCTGCAATCAGGAGGCGTCCGCCATTTGGAGGCCATTGGAGATTATACACAGCATTTCGAGTCTCCACGGCTTCTTCCACTGAAGAGTACTGCAAAGAAGAAGAAGAAGAAAAAAAGAAACGATAAAAGCATGTTTCTCACTTTCAAACAACCAAGAAAAGAGGATCTTGGGGTTTTCTGCTGAAAATAAGTTCTTAAAACTGAAATAAACACATTCCTTATATCTCATCAGACCTACTTTTTCAGAAACATCACCAAATGCAAACCTTTTCTTTACTTCTACTGAAATTCAAAAATGATTTATCTTTTAGCAAAAGCTGAAACTAACAGACCCGAGAGAGGGAGCTCACTCACAGTGACAAAACAATGGGTTTTAATGTTGTCCATCCAGAAACTTGTCACAGTCCCAGTCTGCCCCAGAAGTTCTTGGACAGCTTTCAGAGTGAAAGGACGTAGAAATCGATCGATTTTCAGGGAAGTGGTTGGAGGCTTCTGCGATGGTGGAACTACAAACAAGTCGGTCAATAAGAACTTGTTAGATGTTTCACCAGACGTTTCAGCTGTAAGCATCTTCAATTGATGAAAGATCTACAACTCACCAACACGCTCCTTTGGTGCTTCTTCACTGGCCATGGAGTCTGATCGAGAGAAGTTTCGCTTAAGAGGCTGAAAAGCAGTATCCTTAGGTGTGGATACATGAGTAAGAGTAGAAGTCTGAGTAGGATTTTGCACGTCAAGAGACTTGCTGCTATCGGAATTCCACCTCCGTTGCCTCTTCAACGGTTCAGTGCTCACAGCTTCCTGGTCTGGAAACAAATTCAAGGCGGACAAAGTGAATATATAAAACATAAAGTTATGATGCAGAACAGGATATCAGAAATGTTTCCATAACGCTGCTCAAAAGATTAGTGAACGGAAAGGACACCTTCTACTCAACCGTCGAGTGGGCCAAATGGCTCGAGGAGATAATAATGAGTGCAATAAGAATATACATCATCAGAGACGTAAATGCCAAAGCATCACCAGAGCATTGAATCAGATTCAAGAACTATTGCAAGGGGGGAAAACAAAAGCTCACCATTAAGCTTCCTCTTCTCAACACCTACATCTTGACCACTCTTATTCTCAACTAGAGTTTCTGTTTGGTCCGCAGATGGCTTATTTCCATCAAGCTTCAGCATATTAACCACCATGTTAACAGGCACTTCATCTGTCTCATTTTTATTTACCACTTCATCGGAGTTATACTTCGAATCAATCTGCTTACTCTCCAAAATATCTTCATCCATAGAATCATCACCAGAACTTCTATCCAGATTCAACTTCTCAGAATCACCCACATCAATGCTATCAATTTTCTTCTCCACATCTCCAATGTACGCATCAATGCCTCCATCTTTCTCCTTAACCAATGCCTTCTTTTCTTGTGGATCTTCAACATCCATAGGATGTGAGTCACCACCAACCGGGACAACATTACTTGATGATGATAGTTCCACCATCACTGGTTTAACAACATCTAGTTCTAATTTGACATTATCAGCAATTATATTATCCTTTAGTTCATTCTTTTCATTAATAGATACAGAATCAGTAGAAAGTGAATCAGATTTTGCTTGAAACCCTAAACTAGGGCTAACCTCAGATACCTGGTCATTTGGAGCAGATGGGTCATGCTTGACAACCTCCTGTGGAGGCTTCAAATCCTCACTGTCCAGCTCAGACTTTGGATTCTCACTCTCTGGCTGAGGCTTTGAATCCTCATTTCCTAACTCAGAATTCGAATTCTCACTCTCAAACTGAGGCTTTGAGTCCTCATTCTGCAACAGTGATTTCTTATCCTCCTGTTCCAGCTGGGGCTTTGTATCCTCATTATCCAACTGAGGTACATGACTATCATGTTCGTGCAGTGGTTTTGGATCCCCATTATCCAGATGATCATTTGAATTATTATTAATCTCCTGTGTACCAGAATTTTCCTCAGCTTTTCCACTGTCAGTCAAATCAGGAACCACAGTCTCAATAACTGCAGCGCTTTCAGTGACTTCACTTTCACCCTCCAGAGGCTCTATATGACCATCAAGAGGTGTTCCTCCGTTTGAAGGAAGTGCATTTCCTGTCACTACCTCATCATGCATTTTTTCTTGGCCGACGGCCTCCAGACCACCATTAGCACCAACTTTGCCAGTATCAGAACTCTTAATGTTGGAACCATCAACCAATGGGGCATGCTTCTCTGTCTCTGAAACCCCGACTTCTTCTGCACCTTTCTTGTCACCAGCTGGATGACTCGAACTGTTATCCACCTCATCCTGTGCATTTTCACCCTCGCTACGAATTGCTTCTGCCAAACGCTTAATCAAATCATCCTTCAAACCCCTGATTGCCAACTTCCGCTTCTTGAGCTCCTCCTTCAGCTCTACGACCTTCCACTGATCTATAGGTCTATTATCAAGGATCGGGTATTCGGATGACATCTTTGCCAGTCAGATAAAGAAACGCCCTGCTTCCAACAATAACTCAAATAAGACGATGAATAACAGATGGCCAATCTAAAGAAACAGAGACAATTTGTTAAAAGTACAAAATCCCATCATAACCAATCCTTAGAAGTTGAATCATCTTTGAAAGGTACAACCTACATATCTTCTCGTAAAAACAATGACTAGGTAAAAGCGCCAAACATGACCAATAACATAACAAGTAACTACCTTTAGCCAGAATAAGAATCACAAAACCAAACTCCAGTGCCAAGTATCAGTAAAACCCACATTCCACAAGACAAAGGAAGAATAAAACAAGCACAGTACAAGAAAAGAAGAAGAAAAAACAGAAAGGCGAGCACCAAGCTCTTAGACGGGCATACTCACAGGAAATCGCTTCGGGCAGCTCCAAGAACAAAACCCCAATGCAACGCAACGAACAGAAGAGGAAGAGGAAGGTCTGGAATTTTCTAGAAGTAACGCGGAAACCCTAAAATTTTCACAGCAGAAACCCCACCATAAGCGACCCGATCAAGACGCCCGAGCAAAAAACCGGCGATTACCCGCAATGTTTCCGACGAACCCTACACGAAACGCGACCGGAACCACGTCTTCAACTCCCTGAAAAAACAACACAGACGAGAGAAACCAAAGCAAGCTAAAGCCGAAGGCGTTACGACAAAAGAAATTACACGGAATGAAAATGCTGATTTTCAGTTGCGATGACGAGAGAATATGGAAGGTTAAAAAGAAGAAAATGGGATTGCGAAGGGGTGAAAATTAGGGTTTATGGTTCGTCAGCTCACAGGGGGCAAGGGCTGTTCGTTGTGAGAGTTCGTGTTGTGGTTGAATTATCTGTCGGGGAAATTGAAGAGAAAAAGAAAAAGAGAACATGGAAAATTGGGAAGGGGAAGTTGAGTAGTCAGTAATTGCGTGCTGCTCCCGGACTTCCCGACTTTTTTCCTGGGCTGGGCCAGCTTGACGATGAGAAATTGGGCCTCACTTGGGCCTGCCTAGTGAGCTCTCGGCCTGTTGCTTCCCATGTGAATTTAAACCGAATCAAACTTGGTTTGGAAATTTCCTACTTGGCTAGATACCGGTTCGAATCAAAACTAAACTGAAACCGATTTCAGTTAAACGTAAAACGACGACGTGTC